TCTTGTCAGTGACTGTTTCATGGATGGACGGTCCTAAGCCAGTGGGGTCAGTGAGACTCACAGAGAGCCACCATGAGGGCTCTGGAGAAGATCCTTCCTCAGGCCTGGCAGCCATGAAAAGACAGCTCTTCCTTCTCCTGTGAGTTGACAACGAGGAAGCCTGGCCTTGCCATACCACTGATATTCAGGCTACAGTAATAAAGGAGAAAGCCAAAGCTGTGAAGAGACAGAGCGAAGCAGTACAAAGAACCTGCATCCCTGTTGCCTTCATTCAGTCACGGATCCTGCCCTCACTCTTTGTTGTTCAAGTCGATGTGCGTTAACTTTTCTGTGACTTAGTGTTCAGTGTCTTCTACCCAGTTCAAAACTTGGTACCAGGGATGAAAAGGCTGTGAGTGACAGGCTGAAGAGTGCTGCACGGTGACCCCAGGATGCATGCCTACGTGCTAATCCTTATGACCTGGAGCATGAAATTATTTGTGAAAAGGTCTCTGTTTAGATATAATTAAGTCAATCTTTAATATTTTTGAGTTCAGTCAAATGTTGAAGACATAAGGTGAAGACATTTTAATTTTTCAAGTATCATGTTTATTATTATTACATGATTATTCTCAAGATTAACGTTTTTTTCAACGGAAGTTTAAGGTGATTTATTTTTTAAATATGAGTTCCACAACTTCTTTTGCAATGTTATTAATTTCAATTTTTGACTCTCTTATAGCTAAAAAGAAAAAAAAAACCAAAACAAAACAAGAAACCTGATTTGAGAGTCTGAATGCCTGTTTTTACTGTCTTCACCAGTAAGCTAGAGGCAAGGGATGGGGTCTTGGGTGACAGTTACTTCTCTTGTTGACCTATCCGGGCTGCCAAGTACCTATACACACAAGAATCATCTGGGTCTTTATTGCAAATACATATTTGTGAACCAGGTGTAGTGAGTCAGATTTTCAAATGTGGTAGCTAAAGATATATATTGTTATTCAAATGAAGGATTATGGTATATGCATAATGATACCCTAGAATCAGTCACTTTGCTTTCTGCTTTCTGTTCCTTCTGTTATTGCCCTAGCTGTACTGACAGATATGGTACTGTGATAAAAACACAAAATAAGCCATAAAAAATCAAGGTAATCATTTCACCATCTTCACATGTCCACCCTCTTCACGGTTATCGGTAGGTAGTAGACACACAATAAATAATGGAGAATTAAACAATAGTGACTAGATACATGAAGGTCATTTCAAGTGGATTGAAATCACATATAGCTGGACAAATGTAGAGAGAAAAACTTTTAATCTATTGTTGAATATGCTCTTGAGCTCCAGGCTCCTGTACTGCATCCTTCACTAATGGGTTTGTACAGATGAGACTACTTCCTACTGGAGAATCACAAGGAAGAGACTGAGATTTTCAGTCCAGAGTATTTTCCAGAGGTAGTCACAGCTTGAGACCCACACCTTCCCCTCCTCAACTATTCCAGGACCAGGAATATTTGTATCTTGCCTGTCCTTAGGACAGTGTTGTAGGTCTTCAAATCTGCAAAGGCCACCTCAGATTTGTGGGGTCCCCAGCAGGGCAGAAGAGGCACTCATCACCAATGATGCCAGCTGAGGTCAGTGTCCTTTGCAGCCAGAACCCCCAGGATGACTGACACCACCGCAATCCTTTCTCTCTCCCCATGTTGTGCTTTCCATCTTGTGCCCCTGGAACTTCCCCAGCTCAGACACTGTCTGCTGGCTTTGGAAGGTACCGGCTCAGGATGAAATCTGTCACAGGGGTGGGCAACTTTGCCAAGGGAAGGTAGAGGAGCTTGGCATCCAGGCCAGGGTTGTAGCGGATACGGGGAGTCCGGGAAACAATGGCATGCTCCATACTATTGATGACGTCAGCGATTTTGGGATGTGCCAACCGCATCATGTTGTTCAACTTAGAAGTATCTGTTGGGGAGGGGAAATAAAACGCTCTGTTAGTCCCTATTAAGGATGGTTTCTTCCAAATCCCATCTACCTTAACAATTCAGAACACCATCCACTTGTGTCTCACACAAATCTCCACACATAAGATCATTATAAATCATCTTATTTCTCCTCCTGAATTCTACAGCTGTGCACTGAATTCCTACCATTGCATTTGATTAACAAGGTCAAGAGCTATGCCCAGTTCTCCTGACTATGGCACTCACTTGTGATATTACCTTGAGTTCAAACCTTCATTTTCTGTGAAATAGGGGTAACAATATCAACCCTGAAGAAAAACATTATCAATAGTAGAATAGAAATCTGGGTATGGTGGCACAATTTGTAGTCTGTACTTGGAGGCTGAGGCATGAGAGCCCCTGTGAGTCTGCAGCCAGCCTGAACAGAGGAAAACCCTCTCTAAAATAAATGGCATAGTAGATGATAAGGTAGGACAAGGAGAGACACAGAAAATGTGTCTATATGCACAGAAAAATGAGAAGGCTTTTTACTTTGTTTGGTCTGCTTATTATTATTATTAATACTATTTCTCATATTTTTCTATATAGGCAAAATAAAACATTTTGAAAAAAATAGTTATCCTGTCCAACTTTGGTCATAAAGTCATTGGAGATGCAGATGACCAAAGTAGAGGGAGACCTCTTGAAGTGTTCTAACACAAGCAGTTCTGTCCATGAGGTGCTCTTGGGAGTGAGGAAGGGAGGCAGATTAGGGGAAAGGAGTCTCAGACTTCATTGAGAGCTCCATGATATGACAGCCTCAAAGAAGTGAGAGCTGAAAGGGGGGGAGAGAAAAAGAGAGAGAGAGAGAGAGAGAGAGAGAGAGAGAGAGAGAGAGA